CAGACTGCTTGGTGATTGACAGGGAGTTTGTGTTCACTATGATCCAGCTTCACCCCAGGAGATCCCACTTCACAGCTCAGAAAGGCGGGTCGCTGTGGTGTCGGTAGTGAGTGGCCGGCCGGGCCCTGGCCCCGCTTCTCCCCACTCTAGATGGTGCTGTTCACTCAGATCTGGGATCGCAAGGGAGGATGGCCAGGGGCCAGCCCGCTCCACTGTCCAGGCGGTTCTCCCTCTCGGCTGCTAATCTGTGTCCCTGCAGCCCATCCCGCACTTGACCCTGTCTCTCCCCCTGTCCTCACTGGCTCCCTTCCAGCCCGTCAGCCTTCTCCTTCGTCTGTGATGGGCTTCCTTACACAGGGGGGTATTGCTTCTTCCTTCAGTTTCCCCGCTCAGATGCCAGCTCATCAGAGCGCTCCCCTGTGCTGACCCCCTATAAAGTAGCAGCGCCCTGCCTTCTCCATCCTCTTCACTTAATTTCTTTCTCTTTTTATCGCCTATCACCATCTAGATGATATTTACAGAGTTTTTAAAGTTGCTGCCTTCCCTTCTAGAATGTAAGCTCTCTGAGGGCAGGGGTTTTGTCTCTCTTATTTATTTACTGTAATCTACCTTTGGGCATATTCTTAGTGGACATCCAGAAAGCAGCCCTGTGTATACAGGAAAGGTGTGGCAAGAAGGCACGGCCGTCCCTCAGCTGTGCCCTGCTGTTGTCCCTGCTCCAAAGTGAGCCCCAGGAAACATTTGCGGGGGGTAAATGCTGGTATATCCCCAAGCACCCATGTGTTCAACTGGCATGACCTCCTTCCTTCCTCCATCACTCCCTTGCATTGATGCTTTATAAATGTATTAGTGCCTGAATGATGTCACTGTAATGCATTTTGGGAATAGCCATGTGGTTTATACACACTTGAATTGCTTTGAATGCAAACCTGACATCATAGTGAAGGCAGCAGCGAACAACATATGCACAGTAAACAGGCAGAGACTGTCTTATTGATTAACAGATGAGGCCTCTATTATTGATCAAAGCTTGGCGAGGAAATTTATCACTTTTAATTTCAGGGCTGCCAAATATTTCTGCCTCTGAGCCAGCCATTACAGAGACAATTTAAAGGCACATGCTTCCTTGGGAAGAGGGGGTTTCTGGCTCTCCTTACGGGGCTCCTGTGCCCCGGAACTGCCTGTCTGTGCCGCTGGGCTCACCCCGGGGACCAGGGGGAGTCTCGATGGGGGTGGGGGTGTCCCCAGGCTTCACAAATGAATGGGGCCTGAGGTGGGAGCTGACAGCGTTTGTGGTATTTGCCTGTGATGAGAGTTCTGACCAGCCTGGGGGATCAGACTGCACCAAGGCCCCGGGGACTTTCACAGCCTCAGCTCAGAGCCGAGACTTAAGCAAAGCAGGCAGGGAGAGGCGAGGACGCTGAGGGCAACCAGATGTGGTCAGGCTCAGGCCAAGCCGGCAACCTTGACTAGATCACATGTGCTGATCTGTTTTTATCTTCATCTGAACTTCTCTGATGGCACGCATCCGGCCCTTTATTTCCTACCTGGCCTCCTTCCTTTCTGCTCCTCAGTCATTAGAACAGATGCTACTATAGCTGTGTGGATGGCTGTTTTCTAAGAATCCTGCATACCACATCCCTTTGAGGCGATGGTGCAGGGGCTGCTCACCTTGTTGTAGGCTCCCGCATGAGGCTGAGCCCACAAGGCCCTCCAGTTCCTTGCTCTCCGACTCACGCCTCTCCATCTACTTTCTTCTTTAGGGAGCCCTGAGAACAGTGAGAACCAAAGAAAGAAATGCAGTGAAAAGTCAAATCCTTTACAGAGCCACAGAAAATCATTGCTGGCTAATGATTCGAGACTGGGGAGAGTTTCTCAGGGCAGGAAGGCTGTGGCTTCATCCACCCACCTGGTCTGCTCTGCTCTTTGAGGTACTTGCTGCATTTCCAGTGTAAGTGGATGAAAAGTGGTCCTGGCCGCCACCTGAGTGAACACACATGGTGACTGTCTTGCCGTTAAGTTCCTTTAAAAGCTCTTTCTTGAAGCCTTATAAGCCACGTATAGGTCCTTGGTCCAAGGACACCCTGCAGCTTCAAGGGACACCTGGAGGTGATCATGACCTCCCTGTCTTCAGGTAAACTTCACCTCCAGCTACCTAATACAGCTGGCAATATTTATATTTAAAGCTCTTGAGGAAAAGTGACTCCCTGTCTTTCCTAGGGCACTTAATCACTCATTTGTTTAGCCAGTCAACTAATATTTATTGAGCACCTAGTAGAGGGTATAGTTTGCTCATCATTTGGATTATAGACAAGATCGATGTTCTCCCAGAACCTGACGCTCTATACGTACTCTGGGATCCTTTTACCCTTCACTGGCAAGAACTGTTTATTACTGTTTAATTTAAGCCAATACCGGTATAAATTGTATTCTGAGTTCTGTTCCTTATAGCATGTGCTGTTTACTCTAAGGAAGAGGTTTTTAAAACTTTTTAAAAAGTAGCAGAACCATTTCTCCAGTTGGATTTTTATATAGAACTTTGATGTATAAAAAAGGCATATTGGATTTTTTTTTTTAATTTTTGAGTTGAGGGAAGGAAGCCCATACCTCACCTTCTTATCCATGAAGCATCTTTGCAGATGGAGCCCTAGGGAAGCCAAAATATACAGAGATTAAGAGCAAAGGCTCTGAAGTCAGGCTCCCTGGGTTTGGATCCACTTCTGTTGCCTACTGTGTGACACTGGGCAAAGTGTTTAACCTCTCTGAGGTTGGGATTTCTCATCTGCTAAATGGAGGCAATAGCAGCGTGGACTTTTTTTTTTTTTTAAAGATTTTATTTACGTATTCATGAGAGACACAGAGAGAGAGGCAGAGACACAGGTAGAGAGAGAAGCAGGCTCTCTAAGGGGAGCTTGATGTGGGACTCGATCCCAGGATCACCTGGGGTGATCTTTGACCTGAGCCAAAGGCAAATGCTCAACCACGGAGCCACCCAGGTGCCCTGCAGTATGTACTTTTAAAGGTTGGTGGGATCAAAGGCAACAATACATCTTAAACGCTTAGCATTGTGCCTGATATATGGTAAAGCCTCAGGAAATCAGAGATGATTGGGAAGCAGCACTACGTTTCCACTACAAATATGCGTAAGAAGTTCTGCTCTTATGAGACTCTAATACAGATGTAACACACAGGCACACTTAGGGCAATGCTAGGATGTGCTGAAAGGAAGGACGTGCAGGGCATCTCGGAAAGGACAGAGGAGGGCCTGCGTGTTCGGTGCGTACACACTCCGGTCTTGAGAATGGGATGGGATGGGAGCAGATGGAGACCTGGGACCTGGCTCTGCTCACACACGGAGACTCGAGGAGGGTCCAGTGGTTCCATGAGGGCTGGTGAAGACAGTTCCATGGCCACATAGAGGAATTTGGAATCAGAACAGACTGTGAGCCATATAACTTCTTAAGCAAGAGGTAGGAAGGAAGCAAGTGACCGACAGGACCTCTGTATCTGTCGGGTGAATCGGGGCATCTGGTGGTGTGGCTGCCATCCTCAGTCTACCAGTATTCTGGATACCACCCAGTAGGGCCCACATAGGGGCAGCGACCATCGACACACAGTGCAAGAGATGCATCTAGAAGACATTTCAAATGAAAACTGCCAAGGCTTGAGACAGGTGCCCCCTGAATGAAATAACATATTAGAGCCTTGAAGACTGTTAGCAAATGGTTAAAAAAAAATCTTGTTTGTCTTGACACTGTAGCATTGTCGCTTTGAGCCCTGTAAATAATGGTTCTGAAAAAGTTTATCATTTTGAATTGCACTGAATTGATTTTGTTGATTCCACAAATATGTACAGTAATAGGTTCCCACTGGGTGTCGGGCTGATGTAGCTGTGCATGCAATGACATGTTCCCTCGGAGAGCTTCTAGTGTAGCAGGAGATGGGGACAGGTCCACAGGCATTTAGAAGAGCATGGGGTGAACCTTTGATCTGGAACATACAGGGTGCTGTGGGAGCACAGGGAAGGGCCACGTCCTCTAGAGGAAGCCGATGCGTAAGGGGTGCTATCGTGTATGGTGGGAGTGAGGGCCTGGAATATCAGACACAGGAAGAGCAGAAGGATGTGCAGAGGCCTCTCAGTAGGGAAGAGTCTGGCTCCTTTAGGAAACCAGGCCAGCTGAGTGGGCCTGGAGACCAGGGAGCAAGAGTAAGGGGCAAGAGACAAAGCAGGAAAGATAGGCACATCAAGAATGCTTTGTGAGTCTTGGTGAGGAGTTTGGATTTTATCCTAAAGACACAGGGGTGTCATTCGGGGATTTTAAGTTGTCAGGTACAGGGGGTTGTTGGGGCAGACTAGTTTTGGACATACTGAGTTAGGGGCTATAGAAGTACAGGTATGTCAGCAATTCCTACTTTTCTGTAAGGTATCTTTTTAATTATTATCAATTTTATTTATTTATTCATGAGAGACACCAAGGCAGAGACATAGGCAGAGGGAGGCTCCCTGTGGGACTCAATCCCAGGACCCTCAGAATCATGACCTGAGACAAAGGCAGATCCTCAACCACTGAGTCACCCAGGTGCCCCCACTCCCATAAAGTATAATCTAAGCAACAGGGCACATTTCCCCTCATTGAATCCTTCACTCTTCTGACCATTCCTCACCTGGAGCCAGCCCCCCAGAATCCTGCTGCTTCTTGGGGTATCTCATCTGGACGCCATCTCTGTGTCTGTTGGTTATTCTGATTTTGTTCTTTTCTCTGGGAGACCCCTGGATGGTGGCATTTGGAGCTCAGTTGGTCACGGTGGTCAGCTCAGGGTGGTCACGTCCTGGAGGAGGGACTGGGCTGGCTGCCAGAACCAAGGACTGTCCCTGACTTGGGGTCTTCACAGGTCTCCAGCCGTCTCCTCCAGCATCCACCTACATGATTACGGCCCAGGACCCCTTCCCCGCAAATGGAATATCACTCTCATGGTGACTGCCTCCTCTTTCTTTTCAGCGGGTGCCAAAGCCTTTGTCTGTGACCAGTGCGGAGCCCAGTTTTCAAAGGAGGATGCCCTGGAGACACACAGGCAGACCCATACTGGTGAGTTGACTGATCCTCATTCTCCAGGTCTTGGTCCTCCAGAGTGCCAGTGCAGAGATATGAGGTAGCTAGGCAGCACCTTCTTCCAGCAAATGTGACATCTAGTCATGTCCTGAGGAGCTGTGAGTCAGGATGGCCTGTGCCACATTCAGCTACTCTCGTGGTGAGGGCTGGCTGATGGGAATGTCCAAGTGTGACCTTGCCCCATAAGAGTAGCTGCCCTGGTTTAGGTCGAAGAGGCCACTGAAGTCCCGTCTTCACAGAGCCTTCTGGCATATGTTCTCATTGAGGTCTTAGAAGATCCGCGATGTTATCTAGCATCCCCTTCCCTTGGCGATGGGTCAGGAAACCTCTTGTCCTCTATATGAATACCTCTGAAACCCTCAGTGGCCACAGTGGGCTGGTCTTCCCGCTGTGAGTGCAAGTCATTGTCTAAAAGCAGTGTCTGCATAAGGATACACATTTGAACCTTTCAGCAGATGATGAGGTCACTGAATTTGATGTGAGAGCACTGGGTGCACAGCCATCATCGTACCACCATCATCGGTTTCTGATATCATACCTGATGTCACCTGGGCAGTCTCTCAGTAACTCTATAAGGTGGGAGGCTCCTATCATGTCCTAGATGAGGACCCTGCGGCTCAAAGGAGGGACAGTGACTTGCCTAAGTTAGTAGTGGGGCCAGGAGCATTATAGCTTGCATGGCCTGGTTCTCCACTTGGCTCTGTCCTTAACTGCCTGCGAGACCAGGGATCTGCTTATTGAAACTCTTCTTACGTTGAGTCACCTCATCTATTAGAAAAGTGGAATCATAAGAGTACCTACCTCCATAGCATAGTATTGTCATGGGGATGAAATAAGATATTTTATTTGAAGTACTCTGCAGAGTGTTTGGCTCATAGTAAGCATTTAATAAATAGGAGTAGATGTATTTAAAATTTAATAAATATTTATTGATTTCCCACAGCGTGCCCCAGCATGCTTATTGCATTTACGGTATAGTAACATACGAGACAGATAAGCACTCCTGTCCCTCATGGAACTGAGATTCTAATGGGGAGACGGTAGAGGCAAGTAAGTATGCAGTGTAATGTCAGGTGGTAATACGGCTGGAAAGAAAATGAAGCAGGATAAAGGGAAGAGAGTGAGAGGGAGAAAAGTGGTATTTTAGGTTAACTGGCTAGGCCTCTCTAAGAAGGTGACATCTGAGCAGAGTCCTGATGTGAGGGAGTGAGCCACTCAGAGGAACAAACACTTGCAGGAGCCCTGAGGCTAGGCTGACTTGACTGCCTGTTGGAGCAGCATGAGGAGCAGCATTGTGTTTGTGGTGGTGGTAGGGGTGGTCAGGGAGGGAGGTGCAGAGAGTGGTGGCACATGAGGTCAAAAATCAGGTGGTCTCTGAACCCTAGTAAGGAATTTAGCTTTTATTCTGCATGTGCTAAAAGTCCGTTGGAAGGGGATAAAATATTTGCAAATCGCATTCCTGACAAGAGACTTATAGTAAGAAAATATAACTCTTATAACTCAGTAATAACTCATAACTTAATAATAAATACAAGGGATCCCTGGGGGGCGCAGCGGTGTGGCGCCTGCCTTTGGCCCAGGGCGCGATCCTGGACACCCGGGATCGAATCCCACGTCGGGCTCCCGGTGCATGGAGCCTGCTTCTCCCTCTGCCTATGTCTCTGCCTCTCTCTCTCTCTGTGACTATCATAAATAAAAAAATAAAAAAAAATTAAAAAAAAAGAAAACATTAAAAAAAATAATAATAAAATACAAATAACCAAAATAAAAAACAGGCAAAAGATCTAAATAGACATTTTTCCAAAAATAGTCAATGAGCACATAAAAAGATGCTTAACACCACCAGGCCATCATAAGGGAAATACAAATCAAAATGACAATGAAGTCATTTTTTTATACCCATCGGGACGTGACTGTCATATATAATACAGATAGTAAGAAGTGTTGCAAGGACGCGGAAAAATCAGAGCCCCTATACACAGCTGGTGGGAATGTACACTTTGGACAGCAGTCTGGCAGCTCCGCCAAAGGTTAAACATAGAGTTACCATATGCAAAGCAATGGTACTCCTAGGTGTCTACCAAGGAAATGAGAACATGTTCTTGCCAAAACTTGCACATGAATTTTTATAAGCAGCATTATTCATCATAGCCAAAAGGCAGAGACAACCCAGTGTCCACCCACTGAAGGATGGGTAAACAAAGTGTCATTTATGTGCAGAATGGAATATTATTTGCTATAAAAGGGGGTGGAGTAGTGATACACTCTACAATGTAGATGAATCTTAAGAACATCATGCTCAATGCAGGGAGCCCATCGCAAAAGGCCACATGTCATATGAATCTGTTTATAGGGAGTGTCTAGAATGGGCAGATCTATACACAGAAAGTAAATTAGGTACCAGAGGCTGGGGGAGTTGAGGGGAAATGGGGAATGACTGAGGGCTGATAAAAATGTTCTAGAATTGATGGTGATGATAGTTGCACAACTCTGAATATATTAGAAACTATTGAACTGTACCATTTAAATATATGAATTACATGTTATATGGTATATAAATGATATTTTAGTAAATCTGCACACATATATACACACACCCCACCCACTCACACATGTGTACAAACATGTATTGAGTAAAAGAAATAATGGTCCATTGGAGGGTTTTGAACGAGAGAATGACATGACTTGGTTTGTGTGTTTCAAAGCTCACTCCGACTTCTGTGTTGGGAATTGACCACGGGGCATATGTCAATTAGTAATTGCTGTGTAATGAACCCCTCACCAGTAGATTAAAGCAACAGAGTGTTACTATCTGACAGTTCCATGGGTCGACTGGGCTCAGTTGGGTGGTTTTCACTTGGGGTCCCTCTTGAGATTGCAGTTGGACAGTATCTGGGTCTAGAGTTCTCTGCAGGCCTAATAGGGCTGGACATCCAGGATGACTTCCTCACCTTCAGCCTCTCTGCTACTTGGCCTCCCTCTGCAGCAGAGTGGCTTAAATTTCTTCCATGACAACTTAGGGCCCCACAAGTATGGAAGCATAAGCTGCAAGCTATCTTCAAAGCTAGGCTGGAAACTGTGAGCATCACTTCTGCCATGTTTTATTGGTCAGAGCAGGCACAGGTCAGCCCCAGACTCCTGGAGTGGAAGACTAGGCTCTTCTTCTCAAAGGGCAGTGACAGACAAATGCAGGGTTGTGTGTGGCGGTCATTTCTGGAGACTGGCTGCCAAGCTGCTATAGGGGGCTAGGGGTGAGAAGAAGGAAGACCGCTCAGTCACTGCTGCTGCCACCATTATGTCAGCAGTATTTCCATGTCCTGTGACCTCACACGGTCTGCCTTTCCCAAGTGGAAAACATGGTATCATGGACCTTGGTCTGGACTCCCTGGCCTGTGACAACTGGAGGAGCACTTTCTAGGTGAGCTTGGTTGTGGAGAAGGTGGCTTTGTTATAGAAAAGGTGACTTGGCCAAATGATTTTGCCCCAGGTTCCAGAGCTAGTTATCTTGAAAGCCAGTGCAGGACCCCGGTGGTCCCCAGGTCCCAGCCAGTTTCTTATTGCTGGACCACATGTATCTGAGAATTCCGATCTGGGGCCTGTGGAGAGTGAGCGGTGAGCCAGCTTTGCCAGGCAGGTTGATCTGTCCGTGCAGATTAAATCAGCAGCGGGGAGCAAGCCACCTTTCAGCCAGGATCAGAGAAGGAGTGAGCAGATGGGAGGCTGTTTGTGAACAGACCCCATGCGCTTAGTGAGCACCTTCTGTGTGCCTGGCACCCCCCAGGGATATAGCAGTGACCAATACAGACATGCTATCTATGTTTTTTTCCAGACAATTTTATTGAGATAGAATTCATATAGCATACATTTCACCTGTTAAAAGTACACAATTCAGTGGTTTGTGGTGTATTACACTATTTTTCAAGCATACAATTCAGTGGCATTGATGACATTTCAATCTGTTCTTTAGAATCTGAGTTGATTCAGCTTTGAAAGTTGGGAGTCGTCTTAGGGCCAGTGCTTTTCTAGGATTTATTCAGTCAGTGAGAATTTGAAAGCGGCTGGCACCTTCCAGAAAAGGATATTTGATTAGTGGTTGGAAAGAGCCCGGAGTTTGGGTCAGAAGCCTGAGATGTGGCTCTAACTCCACACTCTAGTGGGATGGCTTTGACTTGTTACTCATCCTTTCTGCCCTGGAGATCTCCTCACCTGCCAAAGAAATATAGAGTCATCCTTCCTATGACAGAGGTAGACCCAACCCATCCGGCCTCACTTTTGCTTTATCTCTAGGTTGAGTCAGTGGAGCTCTTGAAAGGGGTGAGAAATGGAGAAAATGAATCCAAATCGGGGATGAGAGGTGAAGGTGGATGCCTTAGGGAGGGCTCCCTCCCCGTGGGCAGGCTCCCCCAGTGGGCACGGGCGCTGGGCCACTCCTAGTGTAGACACGCCGGGCCGGGGCAGAGCACAGATGCACAGAAGCCTTATCCTTGGGTGGTGAGGTGGCTCTTCCCCAGGCATGGTAGAGCTTATTTATAGCGCCATTGCCTGCAGAACCCAGGTAGTTCTCCAGACTCCTCTGATCATCAAAGAAAAGAAAAGAACACTACTTGAAATCCATTTGCCGTCTCTGTTCTATGGCGGCCCATGAAGCAGGGAGAGGCCTAATTGTAAGGGATGCTGACAGTAATGCTGAAGTTATCGGACTAGGTAGAGACAGGTGGGGGGCCAGGTACGGTTGGAGAGCCAGCAGGAGGGCAGAGAGCGCTCGGAAGAGGAGAAGGAGCGGAGACCCTGGGAAAGGCAAAGTCATGGTAATGCCACTCGTATTACTGGTACCTTGTTGATAAAACACATTTTTCGATTGTACCCATTTAATAGATGAGAAAACAGGGGTCTCTAGAAAGTGGAGAGCTGGCACTTGACCCAACTCCAGTGCCAATGTTCTTTTCACTGGCTCCTACCTGCCTCCAGAGTGACTT